AAAAAAAATGGGAATAGTTTAATTGTGGTTATGTTTTTACCCAAGAATTACCATTTTAAACTTCCATTCACTATGTTTAATATCCAATCTTCTGATCAAGCAGTTTCTATAAATCTACTCTTAGGTTACTTCAAAACACTTCTAAGTGCTAATAATGCATAGGATTTATTTAATATTTTATTTTATATGGTCCTTTAACACACATTATAAATGTCAGGATCAATAAACTACTGTCCATAGCCTTTATTTGTAAATAAAGTTTTGGAACACAACAGTAGCCATAAAAGCAAAACAAACAAAAAACAAAGGACTGTTAACAAAGAATTTCTTTTTTTTTTTTAATTTTTTGTTGCCTTTGGTCTTGATTCTAACTAAGAACAAACTCTTTTTGGAGGAGTGGGTGGGAGGTTGTCCAAGCAAAATCTTTTGGCAGTGGTGTCAGGAAGAGAGCAAATCTTTTTGTTTGACTAATGAACTTCTTCATCTTTGACTTTTTTCCAACCTTTTTTGGAATCCATTTCCATTGAAGCACTACACAAACATTCTTGTTGTTAGGAAATATACCTTAAATACTAGGGAAATATTCATGTTTTTTAACTGTTGTGAATAAAAGAACACACAGCACAAAAACACTAAAATAGTAGCTAATGCAAATTTGTTTCTTCCATATTAAGAAATTATGCAAAAACTTTACAGTAAGAAACTGCTTATCTTGTTGCCAAAATATTATTCTTTTGGGGAAAGGAATATTCTAAGAGGGCATTTAAATTCATAATTGAATTGAAGGATAGCAATTCTTCATAGTAAAACCATGGTTTATGTTTCCTGCTTATGGGAACATTTGAGCTGGGTCTCTAATCACATGCAGTACATATTTTTATAAATGTGTTATGTTTATAAATCTGTAAAAAGCTGACATGATTGGTGATGGAATATGGATTGTGATAATGAATATTTACATCAGATTTCTTATTCTATATTATTTTTAGAGGTCTTGATAAACTGTAGTTATTGCTGTCTTTGGGGTCTACCCATTTTGTGCCTCATCTTTCAGCAGTGTGTTTGCCTTTCACATTATTCTTTAGACAGGAGGGAATAGACCTGATTTTTAAAATATTTGCTGTTGCTGAAGTGTTACAAAATCATCAAGTGCTAGCAATAATTCTTATAATCATTTTTTAAATTTAGCCTATATGAAATACCAGGGGCTAGTCTAAACACTTAACCTAGTTTTCACTGATTTAATAAATTATTCGATTTAATTAATTATTCAATTATAATATTTGTATGCTGCTTCAAACTTGAACAAATCAGTGAAACTTCATAGAGTGGTGGAGTTCTGTGCTATTTTCTTCTCTTACTGATTTTTCTTTAACAATTAACACATTCACGGTCTTTCCTCAGAGCCACAGTAAAGTGTTTAAACACTTCACCTTTCCTGCAAAAGTTATTTCTTTTTCCTGTATTTTTAAAACATTGTTCACTCATTCCGCCTTTTTAGGTTATTTTCTTGGGTTAAATGCTAAGAAAATTTCAACGGCAGACAAATCATTCCATCCTTTTTTCCTTCTTTCACCTTCCAAAACATTTATTCCATATTAACTGCCATCTCTGCATTTATTTCGAAGTTGCAATGCCAAAGGTTACATGCTTTTAAATGTATTTCTCACTGTATGATTTTGGTATGATTACATTCTGATGTAATACAAATGTGACATTTTTCAGGACTGGCAGAGTTAGGTACGCTGTGTGACCCTTTACGGAGCTGCTCCATTAGTGAAGAAAACGGACTCAGTGCCGCCTTTACTATCGCCCATGAGCTTGGGCACGTGTAAGTACCTCTGTTGCCTCAGCACTGTGCCTCTGTTTGTCATAGCACAGAATGCCTAAAATTCTGTCTTTATTTCTTTGTTAAATATGTTTAGTGTGATTTTCACCCCTTTAATGCTCATTCTGGGTCTTTTGTGATCAATGTTAGATCAGACAGGCTGCACAGGTCAACAGACTAAGCAGAGAACTTGGGAAATCTTTTATTTCATTTACTATCTTGGATTATATGGCA